CAACATTTGCACCTATAGTTATTGGTAACAATTAACATTTGCGCCTTTAGTTATTGGTAACAATTAGCATTTGCGCCTTTAGTTATTGGTAACATTTAGTAAACATTTTCACCTATATAGGTTGCAGACAATTACGTCTAGATTTTCACCTATTAAGTTTGTTAACAAATACGCAGGACTGACTTCTGCCTCAACATGTCCGTTATAAGCACAATTTTGGCACTAAAAATTGAAAGCTCTTAACCTATAATTATATTTTGATATAATTAATTTAAATAAATAACTGAACTAAATAATTAAAATTATTTAATTGAATTAAAATATAAAGTAATTTTAATTTCAAGAGAGAAGAAATGGAATTTCATGGATGTCTCCGCCATCCAGACATTTTTACGTATGCTGCGAAATGAGCATGACGTTGAATTTAAGACAAGTACGCAAACCTTCGTATCTTAATAAAAAAAAATTATAACATTGTTCATATTAAATTAAGCATGTTTTCGTTGATTTGATTGTCAACTGAGTTTGAAATATAATAATTACGTTCTTTGTAATACTGAAATCCTTCACTTGACATTCACGCAGTAATCAGTCCCAAATTTTTCCGCATTATTTGAGAGTAAAAATAACGGTTTATCCGCAGCCATTCCCTGAATAATTTTCAATCAAATATCAGGGAATTTGCTTCTCGCATTAACTTTAATGTTCCTCTCAGGCCGCGAAACAGCCACTTCCCTGGAGTGGCCTGACATCCAAATGTCCCATCAAATCTGACGAATTCTCATCGCAATGTCAAGTGCGAAATGTAAAAATTCTAAGTGCAGAAAAGTATGCATTAGTTTTCTACACTTATTTTACTCCTCAAAAAGATTGCCAACTCTCGTTGTAATGGAATTACTTTATATTTCTACTGCTTAAAGTCGGATGGTAAAGACGAAGACCTGAATGCCACAGAAGGATACTTCGGAAACCGACGACGGACACCTCACCTCGACGGCGGTCAGAGCCACACTGAGGACCAGAGACTGGCCTAGACACAGATATTTGTTGGCCTAGGCTGGCGTATCACATAGTGAGGCCTAAGTGAGGCCGCTAGTGCGTTCACGCGCTGCATTATAAGTCCATTAGCTGTGCTTAACAGATCTTTAGAAGATCACAAAGCAATGGTAGTAAATCTTCTCACTGAAATTGACTTTTCGTTTGCTACCGGAATGTTGGTAAGTAGGTCAGAGAAAAAATATTGCTACACTTGGAATGAACGTGGAGTTTTTTTTTTTTTTTTGACTTAATAAGATCACACAAATAAATAAATTCGGGCCGCAGGCAAGATAAATAACGGAGGCATGCCCGGCAGGGGAAGCGATGGGGAACGCTTCAAATACCCGATAATTAATAATATAATTAGGGTTGAAATGTGGGCATGCAAGAGCATCTAAAGGGAAACTTGAAATAATAAATATTTTATTTATTAATTATCATTCCATTATCATTTATTTTTAAATATATTTATAATGAATATATTTAATATTTAAATATTTTTCTAAACAGCCAATTAACGAAAAGCTGATTTTAAGACCAGCAATCGAGAATATATTATGTTAGAAAACTTTTTGAGATGCAGTGCATAAACCTTGATTTAGAATCGTCAGATGAGCTCAGAAGAGGGGGCAGTGAAAGGAAGCTGTACCAGTGGACTGTATCTGCGCAAATTGCGTGACCGCAAAAACTGCACAAATCTTGTAACAACCCAGATATTGCGGCAGCACAATTGTCGCAACGACACAAATATTGTAACAGCACCACTGTCGTAACAACCTGGATATTGTGGCAGCACAATTGTCGCATCAAGGCATAGGTGTTAACTACGTAAATGTCGTGAAAGCGAAGCAGCACAATTGTTTACATAGCAGCACAATTGTTGCAACAACAGCAATAATGCAAATGGACACAATTTGTAATTGCAAAAATGCCGTATCATCACAAGTGCCGCCACAGCACCAATTCATATCAGCGAAAATTCAGAACAAACAACTAGCGTAGAGACACAAATGTTGCATTAACTATTTTCCATATTGGCAGAAAGTTCACTACAGCATAAATCTCGCGGATACGCAAGCATAGCATCGACACAAAATGCCGTTAAAACACTAAATTACAAGGAATTTAAAAGCAAAGAAAACGCCAAGAAAATTCACCATATCGATATTGAAAACGTTTCGGAGTCCAGCTCCATCATCAGTTCGACTAAACTAAAAATGAATAAAATCACTTTAAAAGTCAAAATTCAAAGACAGACATAAAACCTAAACAAGACCAATTAGTTTTAGTACAAGTTCTCGACATCGCGAATGCAATATAGGCACAAATGGCGTAACTGCACAAATACCGCAACAACACAATTACCTTATCGTAAGATATTCATCAGGCAATAATTATTGAACATGTTTCAATAATTGTTAATTTAATTGTTTTAATAATTGATAAACTAAAAATATTATATTGAACGCAAATAACGGAAATACCTTAACTGTCAAAATGACACAGATGTCGCAATGACACGCATGTCGAATAAGCACACATGTCGTTTCAGCACAAATGCCGCGATTGCAGAAATTTCGTTACAGCACAAGTGCCATAATAACGTAATTGCGTATCAGCAAAAATATTGTAACAGCACAAATTCATCAATACTGCATTTAGTTTGCACGTACATTTTTAATGCTGAAGAACACAATATTTTAATTTTTGAGCCAGGGCCGTTAGCTATGGTTTGAGATGCATTTTGTCAGCGAGCGAAATCTTGTTATGGCTACGCCATACCTAAGCGCCAGATAAGTCGGTAAGGCCCCGGCCTTATAACACCAATGTTGCAAGTCTCGGCCCCTGTCTCTTATACACATCTAGATGTGTATAAGAGACAGGCTCCGCNCGTGGCGCCAATATTGCAAGTCTCGGTCCCGTGGCGCCAATATCGCAAGTCTCGTTCTCGTGGCGCCAATATTGCAAGTCTCGGCCCCGTGGAGCCAATATTGTGTCTCGGCCCTGCAATGCCAATATTGCGAGTCTCACCCCAACGAGGCCAACATATATTGCGAGTCTCGATCCTGCAGCGCCAATATTGCGATTCTCGACCCTACATCGTAATTATTGAAAGTCTCGGCCCAACAGGACTAACATGTTGCGAGTCTCGGACACGCAACGCCAATATTGAGGGTTACAGCCTCCCACATCGTCATTACCGAAACAGGTCCGGTTACCACAATGCAATGTCCATTAATATTGTGATGCAGAATATAATGGTGTCGAAAATATGCGAAATTAAGTAATTATACGGGTAGAACATTTCTCTATAATAATGCACGATAGAAGAAAGGTATTGAAAACACGAGTCGATTCGAAGGTTTTAGATATCCGAAATACTTCCCACTTAGAGCTTAAAATAATTTTTTTTCTGCACGCTTGTGTCTAAAAATTGTATCATTGGACGCCATCATGGTTTCGCTCATTGCTGCTGGAGCCGAGGGAACGATCTTTCTCATCACGGAATTTCCAGGGCTAATTACTGCTCGAAATGAGCACTCAGTAAACTACAGGGAAGAATTAGTCGATCCGATGCTCCTACTAAGGTACTGAGTATATACGAAATATTTATTGAATAATTATAAATGGAAGTCGAATAAGAAAATTTCGGAAGCCGGGACATCAGTTTGCTATCGGAATTTCTAAATTAGTTTCCAACAGTTTTATACAGTTCTTTTGCCAAACGAAATGTCTTTGAACTGGTGAATGAATAAATAACATTGATGAAGTAACATAAATTGTAAGGAAACTTTCAAAATTCTTTGGTTAACAGAAACATTTTCCACTCTAATCTGGCAACAAAAAACTTAATGATTGGTCATTAATATAATACTTCCGACGGAACTGCTGATGCCACCCCAGCAGCGCTGGTGTAGCTCTGAGGCAGTATAAAATACAGCTCTGCCTTATATGTATAGGCTGTTGTGTGTCAGTGCTGGCGTGGTTATGAGGCAGCGATGTTTAGCTCATGGGATGAGCTGGATAATAAGCATGCTGTTCGGTAGAGCATGCCTGGCGGTAGTGCTGTGGCAGTGCACCGGGAGAGTACGGCGAGTCAGTGCACCGTGAGAGTGCGGCGAGTCAGTGCACCGTGAGAGTGCGGCGAGTCAGTGCACCGGGAGAGTGCGGCGAGTCAGTGCACCGGGAGAGTGCGGCGAGTCAGTGCACCGGGAGAGTGCAGTGAGGTGGTGCAGTTTCATAACATCTCTTCATAATTATTCCAGTTTTGGAACTAAGTTGAGAGAGAACGTTACTTAATGAGATGAAACACTTAGAGCTCGAATTTTTCGCCACCCATGATCGAAAGATCATTATAATAGTTGCAGATCTATGTTACTATTTAATATGGAAATTAATAATTTGGAAATACAAGTAGAAAAAAAACGTTTGATATCAATTGAATAAATTTTTGCCGGTTTTTACGGTGTTGTGGGTCAATAGTCCAGGGTGTTTAGTTTCCGTGGACTTTTGGCGGAATGGAATGCGAGTGCAATAAGGTTTTTCTATCTTGCTCAACTTTTAATGTAAAATAAATTGATGAGCATTGGCGAAATTGATTGGCGGATTGAAGGGCATTGGAGAAAATGGCTCTTAAGAATAATAAAAAGATATTTAAAATAACTTGCCAGCATTGACGTAAATGATTTAGATAATATCACCCCAGCATTATTACTGAATTTGGTGAGTGAAAGCATTATCGATGCACAAAGATAGGACAAAGGGGCCTGATTATTGTGTTAATTTATTAAATTAGTTGTTTTACTCCTGAAAACTTGCGAACAATTAGTTCTATTTCAACTGAAGAAATTTCAAATAAATGAACAATTCATATCGTATAACTATTTGTTTTATCACTAAAACTGCGGCAAATCAGCAGAGTTTCAAACAAAATAAGAAACAATTTAGGACACAACTGTAGAAACAATTGAGGACACAATTGTGAACAGAAAATGTATTCTACCACTTGAAAGTTCCACGCAGAATGCGACCCAAGATTTGGCCCGCACTTCACCAAGCGGCCTGGCTGCTACTCGTATGTCGAGGGCTGGTAAGTCCTGTAGCTACAATACCATTTGTAGGTTAATTAAGAACGCAATATTTTCACTAGATCAGAAAATTAATTTCATAATTAATTTTGATTCATTTCACTTGATTACATATTTTCACTAGATCAGAAGATTACTGTAGTAATTGATTTTATTTTACTTAATTACTTTCTTGAAGTCATGTAGAACTCAACGGGTAATTCTCCATTTTATAGTCAAGACTATTTAAACTGGAAACAGGAACAAATTTTGAAACCGTGATTGTCTGGCAATGCAGAAAAGAAATAACTCCTGGATGAACGCGTTTTCGATTAATCCAGGAATAGACAAAATTTTCGCCTTAAAGCTTTAAATAATCCGAATCAGACGACCCTCACACAAACATTCGGAATCGCACCTTTTTTCCTCTAATTTACAGGCCGACAAATCACCTCTTTAATCATTTTTAATCGCCCACACTCTTGCATCATCGCTACAAAAGGAAGTAGGCCGGACGACATAAAATACTGTGTGGCTAATCTCGGCACCAGTTCTAATTTGTTCACAGGATTCATTCACTTGGATTCTGGTTTCGGTTCTAGACTGGATTCATTCACTTGGATTCTGGTTTCGGTTCTAGACTGGGTTCTAGGTTAGGTTCTTTTTTGTATCCAGTTTAAGTTCTCGTTTGGGTTCGAGTTTGGGTTCTGGTTTTAGTTCTGGTTTGGGTTCTGGTTTGAGTGCTAGCTTGGGTTCTAGTTTGGGTCCTAGTCTTGGTTCTGTTTAAGTATCTTGGAATCTGGTTCAGGTTCTGGTTTAGTTTCTGGTTTGGGTTCTAGTTTAGGTTCTAGTTTGGGTTCTGGTTTTGGTTCTGGTTTGGGTTCTGGTTTGTGTTTGGGTTTGGGTCCTGGTTTGGGTTCTGATTTAGGTTCTGGTTTGATTGGAGTTCTTGGCTCCAGTTTTGCGCTACACGCTCAGATATTGATCTAAATGGATTCCAAATTTGAATTTTTAGACTCTGAATTCGGAGGCGCTTCCATAATGAACAAAATTATATAGTAATTTGATTTATAGTAATTTGACCATGCGAGCTTAATCTGTCCGTATATTTATTTTCTATTGAAAAAATCACAAATTCCGTTCAATAATCTACACGGCGGCTTAACAGCGCATTTTGACTTTTCTAGCACTCATCAACCATACTTCAGAATCAGAAGCCAAAGATGGAATTAAAATATGTAACGAGTAATATCGATCAAAAATGATCGATATCTCGATAATGATATCTCGATCAAAAATGATGCCGACCCTGCTTTTTTCGTTTTGGAAAAAAATGTTTGGACACCAGTTTTTTCTCGCGGTTTCTCACAACTCAAATGTTTGCCTGTTGAATGCTGGAGCGTAGAGAATTTATCTGAAATATTTGCAGTTATCGAAATAAAATCTTCCAAAATTTCGCATCGATTCATCCGTAGTACAGATATGAAATGAATCGATGAACATAGTACAGATATGAAATAATTATAGACAATAAAAAGATGATTTTGCAAAGTAAGCACGCTTCAAGCATATCTTGCAGCAGCAGTTCTAATGTCTGTTGAACTACCTCTTACGCTAAACAAAAATTCAGCTTTGCAAACTTTTAATTGGTTCTTTTGCATTCTGCTCTAAAGTACTTGGAAAAGAATGTTAGAACCGCATGAGTGGGTTCTAGGACTTAAACAGCGTTGGAATGCGAAAAAATCTCTTACGCACAAAATTGTGTTCTGAGAAAAACCTATAACGTAATAAAAAAGAACTGTTCCCACAACACAGGATACATCTCAAAGAAAAAGCAAAAACAAGTCCTACAACGTTAGAAACAGGACCCTATTATAGAAAACAGATCTGCATCATTAAATTCATGTCCCATTGTGTGAAAACACTATTTTACAACGTGGGAAACAGATCTTAAAATCCAGGGATACAGGTTCCGTATCATGGGAAGCAAGTCCCGTATCACGAGAAACAGGTCCCGCATCATGGGAAACAGGTCCCGCATCGTGGGAAACAGGTCAACAGGTCCCGCAACATGGGAAACAGGTCCCGCATCATGGGAAACAGGTCCCGCAACGTGGGAAACAGGTCCCGCATCGTGGGAAACAGGTCCCGAATCGTGGGAAACAGGTCCCGCAACATGGGAAATAGGTCCCGCATCGTGGGAAACAGGTCCCGCATCAAGGGTTAATCTAGCTCCAGTTGGAAGCTCATATTCAGAATTATTCTAAATGATTGATCCAATTTAATAAATTTAATAAATTCGTATTCATTTAGGTATAATTTTCAAATTTAAGAATTCATACTTCAATGAAAGAAAAAGGTTACATTTTTACATATTTATAAATGTCCAATATGGTCTTTGAATCTTTCTCTTTCCATTGGTGTATAAATATATCATTTTAGATTCAAACTTGAATGAAAACAAATTTATTAAATTGGTTCCATTATCTATAATAACCCTGTATTCGTCCCAGTCATCTAACAATGAGGTGTTGAGGGCTGGAGAATTTTTAATCTTTATTTTAATAGTTTATTAAAGGATGAAGATTATATGCACGCGACGACTAATTGTAAAGAGATAAGGCTCATATTCCTCCCACCTGGAATGTAAATCGTTGCGATACATACTTATTGAAGCACTAGAATATTTCAATTTCAACAATAAACTATTTTAAGTGCTAAGACTACAGAATCACCAAATCAAATTCAGAAATAGCATCAAAAATTGCATAAATCAATCAAGATCAATCACTCACCCTCCTTATACGAAACAGTTTGACATACGAATTTCATGTTACAACAATATATACATATATACACAAAACAGTTCTAGTTTCTACATGCAAGGTAATCAAATAACAAAACGACTGACGACCGCACAGTGCAAACAAAATGAAGTCGAACGCCAGACGAAACCTTCGATAACCGTATTATAAGGGATGACAACATTTGTTAACGATAGGCCTTCAGGGCAAGCATTATCCTTCATTAAAAAATTTTTAACAGTCAAAATACCTCATTGCGAAAGCAATGTTCATTGGTTACTTCTTCTTACATTGAATATAGAAAATACTTATAGAAAAATGTAGTGAAATCGATAAGAAGAGCTAACTGTCTATTTGACTAAAACATTGGCTATTTCAGTTGAACTTGTACAGTTTAACTCTAAAGCATTTCTTTGGTTGATATGGATTCACTTTTGTCTACAATTTATTGTTTCAAGTTGCCCCCCATGCAGTGACTTCTGGCATCATATGAATGCAGCTCTGTTTTTCGGTAATAAACTTGTTTGTGACATTATTGATCACTTCTACCATTCTACCAATACATTATACCATTTATACAATAATTAATCATTTTTACCATACCACCATTATATTATACAATTTGCACCATAATTGATCATTTCTAGCGTTCTACCATTACATTATATCCTTTACACTACAATTAATAATTTTATTGTCAATGTCGATCATGATGGATTGTCAAATTATTTTCACTTCCGGCGTCCAATGACATGATTTCAACATTTTATATTGCGTTTTTTTTGTAAACTACGGGCCCGCATATGGCTCTGTTTGCATGAATTTCGATAGAAAATATCCCATGTTCTCCCGTACTTAATGCTAATATGACTCCCAACACAGCCACATCGTCCTGCTAATGGTCTCCATTGTCTTTTTCTCTACGAGGTTCTCTATTAACAATCAAATATCCTCACATCACTTGTCTCACTGCTCCATTAGGGCCTAAAAATTCTGCCCTGCGAAGACACGTGACAAATGACAAGCTTTGTGGAGCGCTCTACTTCTTTACCCTACGCAACGCCCCAGTAAATTAGTTGTTTTTTCTCAGCCCTGAAGCTCTGCGTAACTGATAGACTTGGCAAACACCGGCCTCAGCCCTTAAAAAGTTTACCCTGAAACATGGGCGGACAGCCGTCGGCCAACCAAACTGGCCTTGCCCCTGAAAACATTTCCTGTAAGGCAGCAGCGGCCACTGGCGCCGGAAAGACGGCCGATCAAAAAACAACCTTGCATAGCACAACAACACATGCCTCTGGCGTAGCAAAATGCAGTGACAACAATACTGATAAATCCCCAGTATGGTTTTCATCAGTGATAGCAATAAACACTTTCATCGCAAGTGCTGAAATCTGAAATAAAACAACTAGTGCCAGCAATATGTTTAAGCATAGACAAGTTAAGTAGCAAAGACAGTAATATTATTAAAAGAAGGTTTCGAATTAGAGCCGGCAGCAATATTATTAGGCGTACGCTGGTAATAAGCACCAACAGCAATATTATGAAGTGTGGGCTAATAAATAGCACCAGCAGCAATATTATTAAGCGTAAGCTAGTAATTTCGGCAGAGATATATTGGTGGAGGTGATGGTGCTAATTATGGTGGTAGTGGTGGTTGTGTTGGTGGTGTTGTTGTTGGTGGTGTGGGTGGGGTGGTGCTTTATTTCTCCAACAATTTTTCTACTTTTTCTGACCAGATTTCGGTACGCCAGCGGAGGCATGAATTTGCAACACAAAATATTATGCTGCATTGACAGCGGCATGCAAGTAATACCAGGGGCTTTGCAGGAACAAAAACTGCGTTCGGAAAATAGCATTCAACTTGCTTCACTGATTCTTTTTCGATATCATCCATACTCGGGTTCGGTTTAATTCAATGTCACCGCAGTTTACGGTCTGAGTCATACAATCTGTCCAAGTTACAGACAAGCACGCGCGCGTATAAGGCAAGGGCGTCAACCGTATGCAGGCGTCGTAGGTAAATACTCATTGTATACACACGCACATCTAGCTAAGCTTGCACATCAGATTGTCTTTATATAAGTTGGATTGGTGCATTATACAGGAACTTAAACCTGACCCCAGTTCAGACAAATTGAGCAATGTCGGTGGTCTAGTGAAAAGGTACAGGGAATTTTACGCAGAAAGTTACTTAAAATTTTGATTCATATAAGCATAAG